TACATGGAGATCCACAGTCAGTTCAGAGCAGGTATCGGTCGCAGTTTTTCTTCAGCAGACTCTACCTACTACTCTCCTGATTTTGAAACCAAATTTTCAATCCTGGGAAACAAACTCGTGATTAAAAACTTGACAGCAGAGGACTGCAGGCTTTACTTCTGTGGCATCAAGAGAGGAGGCAGCACTCAGTTTGTGGAGAGTTTCAGCCTCGTCTCAGGTAAGTACAAAGTTTATTAAATTTAATACTAATAATAACAGAAGTACGTATTACTATTGATTTACTTGAGAGACCTGCCATGATGTCAGGTCTCTCTTGGAAAATAAATGTTTAACCTCAATGAGATTTTACCTGGATATAAAGGATTAATAAAGATAACTTAAATGTGTAACTTCAGTGAGCTCTCAGTATCTTGCATGTTGTGTTTTCTAAGGGCCAAAGTGCACAATGAAAAAAAAGAAAAGAAAAAAATATATTTAAAAAAAAGAGTTGTATTTGATAACTAAAACTACATTTATAAATACAGTAGAACCCCGACTTACAAAATTAATCTGTTCCCGAGGGTCTTTCATAAGTCAAAGCACCCATTGCGCGTTTTGAGTGAGGCGATGCTGAACGATAGGCTATAGGCTAATTGCTAACTAGAACAACAATGTGTCGTTCAAGTGGAACAGCAAAGCGCAAGTACAGAAGCCAAGGGGATGTCACATGATTCGGAAGGCATTGTGGGCATTGTAGGCTCAGCCAATCAGAGAAAGCGGATTTCGTTACTTAGGCATTTTGCCGTAACACGGGCAGAAATCTTGCCGTTCAGTGCCTTCGTAAATTGAATTTTTCGTGAAACAGGGTATTCGTAAGTCGGGGTTCCACTGTAATTGTTTGTACACAGTTTCACTGGTACGCTTTAGTGAAGCTATTTCTTAGTCAAAAACTCATTACGCTTTCCTGCAGTTCTGTATCATGCTGTTTGAAATTGCATTGTTCTTTAGCTCACAGGCTTTGGTGGCTGTGGTGACAGTTTCCCTGCAGTGCACCAGAGGTATTTATGTGGTGCAGTGCATTCATGGTTGCTTTTTTGTATAATGTTGGAAACCACAGACTGTAATAGGTGAAGCTCCCTGTTGTGACTAATGCAGTGATAGGCTTGTCTCTAGAGATAAAACAAAATGTTCCTGAATTTATCACTGATAGAAGATTTATTACCTCCTACCACAGTGATTACTTCATAGCTGTTACTAGTTTGATGTAATTTTGATGAGATTTCCTCCATCACAACTTTGGTGTTGTTCTTGATCAGCATTTGAATCTTGATATTTAACTTTTACATCACAAAGCTCACCCAGTCTTGTTTCTTTCGTCTAGAAACATTGCAAAAATCAAAACCATCACTGGCTCACTCGAGCGGAGGAACCATTAGCACAAACTTTAACTTCTTCCCATCTCGATTGTTCTGATTCAGTATTCCCATGCATTGCTCAGACCTTCAGCTAATCTCTAATTATTCCAGCAGCTTGGCTGCTAGAGATTTAGAATTCATTTATAAACTTTATTTGGAGCATATATATTTCCCTACATGATCAGGTATGTGGCAATATAGCAGATCTGCTAAGACTTCATTCCAGTAGTTGGTCCCTCTGATCATTTTGTGAGTGTCTTGGAACTGGAAGTGGAACTTTTTCATATCCAGAGATGACCATGGCATGAAAGTAGTTTTTCTTATTTGGTCAGTTTAATGATTGCTTTGAATTATCTGATAACTTTTGTAGGTTAGCTTTTCCTTAATCTTTAGCCAGTTATTTTGACTATAGTTCATTTAGTCAACATGATGACTGAATGTAAGACTGCATGTTTGTCTGTGTGGAAATGTAAACTTATATTTTACTTGTTTTTATCAAATCAGTAAAGAAATTTGTGACTGTGTGTTTTAAAAGTTCTCTGCAAATAGTCATTATTGTAACAGTGTCCTATTTAGAGGTAAAGTAAATCTTCAGTAATATCCAGTGTTGGTCAAGTTACTTGAAAAAAGTAATCAGTAACTAATTACTGATCATTTCCCCCCCAAGAGTAATCCTGCTAATTTACTGATTACTTATTTGCAAAAGTAATCAGTTACTTAGTTACTTTTTAAAAACATGATTTACAACCTGAATAGGTAATAAAGTGATAGATCTTTAAGCCCATACAAACTGTAATCAAATGAAAAAGTCTCTTTTTAAAACTTGTTTTTATTAGTTTTAATCTTTTAACTTTATGCATCAAGCAAAAATTTAATTATATGCAACATTCTCTGACTGGAGGAAATTTGTTTAACATTTAAACTTATTTTCTGCACATTCCAGCTCATAAAATAAAATATTTTTTTGTTTACACTCACTCTTTCAAATAGATGCAAGTAAAACACAGCAGAAAATAAATAAAATCAAAGACTCAGCGGTCCTGTTGCTCTGTTTTCACCTGTAAAGCAGGAGTGGGGCAGGCGGAGGTTTGCCCTGGTGCAGGTGTGCCGCAGTGTGTCGAAGGATTTGTGAATTTCACATTCCCGTGGCAGCTTGCTCTGAAGTTAAGGGTTTTTTCACTGTAAAAAGAAGTTTTCTTCCCACGCAGTGAACAAAGGACACTAATGTTTTTGTCACTTTTGACGGAATCAAATTCAAAGTCAGGTCAGTACTTCCACGCTTTAAACGCTGCACGATCATACTCTCTCCCCACCCGATATATGATCCACTGTTGCCACGAACGTCGCACTCGCTTACGTCACTGCCATGAGAATCACGGTTTAGTAATGCAGCGTGCTTATGGGAAAGTAACTGTAATCTAATTACCTTTTTTGCAATAGTAATCCCTTACTTTACTCGTTACTTAAAAAAAGTTATCAGATTACAGTAACGTGTTACTGCCCATCTCTGGTAATATCCACCTTTTATTGTTTAAAAGGTGGATAAACAATAAAAAATAAAATAAACAATAAAAGGTGAATCAAATGGACCATTACGGCAAGGCCGGGATGGTCAATTTGGTAAAGTAAATCCGTTGGGCATCTTTCTTTGCCTTTAGACAACAATTCTGATGGCAAAAAAAAAAAGGTAATATCCACCTTATTTCTTTGAAGTGTGACCTCTTTACTGTACAATAGAAGAACAGTCGAAACAAAATTTGAGGCTTTACCTAAAAGATGACATCATTCATTTCTAAAGACAACTGCTCAAATACGACATGATCCTCAACAGGTTGCCAATTTGAAATATAAAAGGCTCCAAGGAGCTTTGAAAGAAAGCGACTGGACTACTTTAAGTTTCTCTAATCTAAAAAGTTTCTTTCAAGTCCAGTCGCTTCCCTGACTTGGGTGCCTGAGAACATAAAAAGACATCATCCTAACAGCTGCTAAATCAACCTGTCAACTCACCTAATCTTGGAAACATTTGTTTTCCACCATTGTGTTGGTCTCTAAAGTTACAACAGACTAATCGCTCACTAATCAATTACCACTCACCCTCAAAACTGCAACTCATAGATGGTCAAAGGTTAAAATAATAAACAATAGTATTTCTTCCCGGTCTGGATGGGGCTGGGCCCCCTTTCCCTGGCGGGTCGCGGAGTATGGGGGTGCCTACTGGGGTCAGCGGGGGAGCTGGCCCCAGGGAGGGGTCACCTGCCCCTCCCTTCCTTCCCTCCCCATCTCCAGCTGCCTCCCTCTTCCCGCTCCACCACAACCACCCACACATGCAGGACCTTGGAGTAGGGGTATGTCACCAGGGTGCAGAGGAGGTCTTCCTTGGTCTCTTGTGTTCTGGGGGCCTCTGGATGTCTGGAGTTTTGATCTCCTCCATACCTGCTTCATGCCCTGGAGGACGGGGCTGTGGCCCCCCCACACCCTCTAGCAGATCATTACATGAAGGAACCTTTTAAAAAAAACAAGCGCGTCCATGCTCACAGGTGTACACACGGGTGATCACACCCACAAACTACACCCTTTTTGGCTCCTACCTCAAAGCACACTGTGTTCTGTTGATCTTATGTGCTGCACAATAATGTTTAATATTTAGTATTTACTGTCATATTCCCATATATCATTGTGATGTTGTTTATTCTATTACTCTTGTTCTCTTCTGCTTGTTTTCTTTTTTCTTTCTCAGCAGGTGATCCAGGTGATTGATATATGCATTCTTTATTTCTTTTTTTTTTCCTGCTCATTCTGTTGGTTTGTGTTTTTTGCCCTTCTCCCCCGTCCCTCTTCTCAGCTGTTTCTCTTTCCCTCTTTCTTTCTCCCCTTCTTTCCCCCAGTCAAGTCTGTCCCGTATTCAGTAAGTGAAAATAAAATAAACAATAAAAGGTGAATCAAATGGACCATTACGGCAAGGCTGGTATGGTCAGTTTGGTAAAGTAAATCCGTTGGGCATCTTTCTTTGCCTTTAGACAACAATTCTGATGGCAAAAGAGCCAAACGGGACAGGCAAAAAAAAAAAAAAGCACATTACACAATACAATAGTATTTCTAATATTATAATAAATAAACACCAGTGCAAAATGTCTTTGGCACAACACGGGAATCGCGTTGCCCAAAGCCTGAGCAAAAACAGATACGATTTTTTTTTATTACTGCAATTTTTTTCAGCTTTTGAAAGTTCCTGTAATATAAAACAGTAACTTGGGTTGACTAGATGAACTATTTGTTAAAGTGTAGTCAGCTGGGCCTCAGACATGAAAACATTGTTAATGTCTGATAGTTTTACAAAACACTATAATTTCTTGTTTGATATGTGTAACTTTTCTTCTTCCAGATATCTGTCCAACCCCTGACCCTGAGTGTGAAGTGTTGCAGAGGCAGACTTTCCTCGTCAGCTCAGTGATCCTGAACTTTGTGCTCTTTTTAGTGCTCTGTGAGTCTGTCATTTTGTCTAAACCTCTGTGGTCTGCCTGCTCTTCTATTAATACCAGCACCCCTCCACAGCAACATGTTGCATATGTAGATATGCAGAAATGCTACCACTAACTCATGCAGCAGTACTTAATGCAACCAGCTCAGCCACAGTAATTTTTAGTCAAGCTTGCTTTGAACCAACCTCTTATTTTTATAATAGATGTCAACTCATCTTGTAACCCTCTCCTTCCAGCAGCGCTTCTTACTATGTGGATTCAGGCATCTGTAGTTTATATTCATCCAGCTTATAAAACATTTACAAGTGCAGGTTCATACTGTAACTTTTACACATAAGCTGCAAGTATGTGAGGTGGTTTTATAGTTGTACATTTGTGGAAATAAGTATTTTTAAAGTTGGCCCACAACATTCTTAATGCTACTCACATATTACCAAAGTACGTCGATGTAATCCATGGGGGCTGAAAGCCGACGCTGTACAGACAGTACAGCACAAACGTACTGATCACTGCTCCAGCAGGCTTCAGCTGTGCTTCTGCTGTCCAGATGTTGAAAGGTTTCTCTGCGCAGTGGAGAAATGTGTTGTATGTGATGAGTACTGATGTGAGTGTGAAGGTGAAGTGACTCCTCTGATGGTCTGTTGGCAGGTCTGAGTTGTGTATGGCTGTGTCTGAAGAGGAGAATCAGCAAGTATCAGGCAAACCTCCCTCCAGCTGGGACCAGTGAGAGGCTGGAGGCTCCACAGGTAACTCAAAGTGTACAGGTGACCCTGCAGCTCATGCTCATTGTTCTCCTTCAGTGCTACTTTGTCCTTTACTCAGTGCTGCTGTTGTGTTTCAGTACGAGGAGATCCAGTTCCCCACTCCCTCTGCTGCTCCGCTTCAAGAGTGTGTTTATTACAAAATTCAGCTTCCTCGCTCCACACTACCTCAAAGCTGATGGACACACCTGTACAGGTGGATGATACCTGCTGGACAGAGGTCAGTCTGATAACTGAAGACTTGCTGCTCCTCCGCTCGTAGGAGGATTTATTTTTTCCTCTCTGGTTTGAGTTGTTGGACCAAAAGTTCTGAATCAAAATTTTCCACAAACTTGATGAAAGTGCTGCAAGATTAATTTTAGTCAGAGACAATCTGCTCTGCTTCTGAGCTGAGATGGACCCAAGAATGTGACAACCTTTAGCCAAACCTGCTTTAAGGTGCTTCAGGATTTAACACCATAACTCAATGCTGCTGTGAAAACCTGTAAATATGAAACTCCAACATTTAATATTTATTTGTTCTCTTATAGTTTGTATCTGTTTATCAGTTTTTGTTGTTTTGTTTCAGCTGTTTTGTTGTTTATGCTGCTTTGAAAACACAGATTTTAAACACAGTCTCTTTCCCTAAAAGGTCAGCATGATGATTAAGTATGACAACAGAAAGCTGCATTTTACAATTAAATGTCAAACAGAACTGAAACCAGGACAAAGACAAAATATCACATGTTGACTGTGAGAAATGCGATTTTTAAAAAAAAAACATATTTTTTTTAATTTGTTGCAGCATCAAATTTAAAAATAATGTTGTGAGAAGCTGTCAAAATTACTGAGCCATCCATTTTCCTCTGCTTATCCATTTTAAGTATGCAGGAGTCTATACCAGCTGTCATAGGGCTAAAGGAGGGGTACACGCTGGACAGATCACCAGTCTGTCACAATAACATGTAACAAAATTAAATGTGTTTTTTTAAAAGCATCCCTGGTAAACACTGAAGTTCTCCAGAAAGACTTTGTTCACAAATAACTAATTCATCCACATTAATAATCTCAGTTTGAACATTTGGGCTGTTGATTTAAAATCTAAGATTATATGGTCTTTGCAAATTATTGCATAATAGGTTTGTTTTAGTATAAGAATATGTAAAAGACCTTTCTACATACCTGTGGCATTATTCTTTTGTTCTGTGAAAATACACTGCGATCATTTTCAGTTTGATTACAGCATTTATTTTTGGTTTAGGCATTGGTGTAGTTATTTAACACAAATAGAACTTGAGTTCACACCAGTGATTTGTTTGTTTGAAAGAGAAAATGTGGTTTGAAGTATTTCTTTGTAATGTTTAATATGAACCTATTAAACATTTGAGAACAACAAGGGACAGAAACAAATCTGGATGATATTATTTAAAAAAAGAGTTTCACAATGTTCCTCTTTCCTCAAGGCCATGTGAGTGTTTGTTGGTCAGATTTCGCAGGAAACTATTCAGCGCTTTCCTCACACGTTCTGAAAACAACAGCAAGTGACAACCTGTAAAAACAATTTCAGTTGTTGCTTCTCAGTAAAATGCCAGCTTCCTGTTTCCATGTATTCTGACTATGTTGGGCCCCATCCTGCTCCAACCAGTACAAACAGGTCACGTGTCATGTCTGGTAGGCAGGATTTGGACCCAAATGTAGGACCCAGGAGACAGGAAATACATTTAAAAGGCAGCTTTAATGCTAAATTCCAATGAAAATGTTGCCCAGGAATTCAAAAACTATACAGAAATGAGACACACACAAATGTAATGAGGAAAAACACAAAAAAGCTGAATAAAGCTGAAGGAATAAATAAACAAGATGATGAGGGCAAACAGGAGATACCTGGGAGGGTAGTTTTACTAACTGAGAAAATAAGAGAAGGGGTGTGAAACTAAATACAAAGACAAGAGACAAAACACCAAACAAAATAAAGCAGGAAGTAACTGAACTTGTAAACAGAAACACAGGCAGGCAGGAAGCCGACAAAATCAGGAAAAACATAATTGCAAATTATAGAGCCAGGAATGAGAATAAGAGAAATAACTCTGAAGTACAAATGAGCTAAAATACCAAACTCAAAATGGCAAAACAAAGAAGAAACTACACAGAAACATAAAATGGGTGGGAAATAAAAGAAAGTGAAGGTACTACAATAACTGAATCTGAATGACCAAAAGTCCCAAAGAGGTTAGCAAAACGAGCAGGGATGAGAGAAGATGGGGCAAAAACAGGTCCAGATGGCAGATCAAGAATGATGATATTTGTTAATCTGAATTGAGAAATCATTGGATTTATGTGACTTACACCAGTGATAAAAAGTCTTTATCATGTCCTAAAATTAATCCTTTACAAACTGAGATGAACAAGAACACACACTCAAACAAAGCCCAAATTCAGAAACAGCGTGTAGAAAAACTGAGTTTAATGATCTCTCACATTCAATTCTGGGTCACTCTTCTTTACAAAGTTCCTTTGATTGGGACTTGGAGGCATTCCGGAGGCAGCTGACAGGTATCGACAGGCCAAGCGGAATGCGGCTCGGGCAGTGGCTGAAGCAAAAACTCGGGTGTGGGAGGAGTTCGGAGAGGCCATGGAAAAAGACTTTCGGACTGCCTCGAAGAGATTCTGGCAAACCGTCAGACGTCTCAGGAGGGGAAAG